GAGGAGGCCAGTTGTGGCTGTGCCGCAAGGAAGGCCAGCCCTATCCAAACTCTCCCAGACACATCCTGCCCTAGCCTGTTCCTCATACCACATAACAGCCCCATGCCCAGTGACCAGGCTCAGAGACGCCGAGAGCCCCAGCCCTGCCCCAGGTGATGCTGGGGGGACGAAGGCTGGCCGTGCCCTGCTGCTGCCAGGGGGTCTGATGCACTGAGACCCCAAGCAGAGGCTGTGACCCCTCTGCAGAGGGAGAGAAAACCATAGAAGCGCAGAGAAGTGGGGCTGGAAGTGGGCTCCAGAGGTCACATCTAGTCCAACCCCTGCCCGAGGCAGGATTGGCTCTGTCCAAACCAACCTAGAGAAACCCACTGTACAACTTCTTAGCAAAGCTACTGCTACTGTCACCCTGACACCACAAAAGACATTACTTCTGAATCTGCGACAGGGAAAGCAGGGAGATTACAGCAGTCAGTGTCTTGCTGCTGTAAAAGGTCAATAGACACTCAAGAGATCCCAAGCAGAGCCCCGTGCTCCCTGCTACAGAGGAAGGCAAACCCCACCCAGTCCATAGCAGTCTGACCAGGGAGGGAAATTCCTTCCTGCCGCCAATGCAGTGTCAGACTGAGCCTGAGCAGAGGGGCAAGACCCTCTAGGCAGGGCCCTCCTGGCTGGAGGCCCAGCAAGAACACTAGCACAGACCAGTTGCCATTCCCAGCCTGGGCTGCATCCAGCACCCAGTGCCTCTGAGGAAGGCTTAAATCCCCTTACACATGTAGCAGCAAGACGGGCAGCCATGGGGGAGGGCTGCTAATTCCCAGTCAGACCCAGGCGGCAACCAGGAAATCCTGGGAAAGCCCCATAGCAAAGCACAGGCATCGCTACACCTATATCATCCCAGACCTCTGCCTGTCCAACCTCTCCTTGAACACCTCCAGGGATGGAGAGGCCACCCGTTCCCTGGGCATCTATTCCACTACCATGCTATTCTTACAGTCCATGCCTATCTGACCCATACCTTCCTGACCCCAACACAGCATCAGTCTGAACCCTCTAGCAAGATCTTCTAGCTAGGACCCGGGATGTGACACCCCTGAGAAGGGCTGAGGGGTGCCTGTAACCCATCCCCTGTGACCAGCCATGCCAGGTGCAGCTACCTCTGAAGGCAGCTGTCGCAAACAGGTCGAGACCAGCAAACATTGGTGGTGGGAGACAGGCGGAGACAACAACGAGGTGCAACATTTTGCGGCTGGTACTGTGAGGCCCCAGCAGCCAGACCAGAGCTTGTGCCCCCAGTCACCTTCCCCGTGACCCCTCTGCTCTATGTTGCCCAGCGGGCAGTTCAACACTCATCTCCAGGAATTCAGATGTAAGGAGGCATGACATCACAAGCAGAGCTGCTGATGTAGAACAAACAGGAAGTGATATCACAGTAGGGAAAAGGAGGCTGCTTGGTGATTCTGTTTGGATGGGGCTTTGTTTCATGGGGGCAAACGTAGCCCAGAAGCTAGGTCCTTTGCCAGAAGGTCCTCCAGAGATCACATCCAGTCCAACCCCTGCCTGAAGCAGGATCAGCCCTATCCAGCCCATCCTCTCCAACTCCACTGTCCAACCTCTTAGCAAAACTACAGTCAGCCCTGACCCAGCACCAGATATTGCACCCGACCCTGACCCAGGGGAGCTGGGAGGTGACCAGCATTCACACAAGGAAAAGCCAAGACCCTGGCAGGCTCTGCAGAGCAAATGTGGGATTTATTGGGTCTCCCCTGGAGGAAAGCCACTCAGATAGGTTCTTTCATTCACACTTCGCAGGGAGCCTCCGGGTCATTGATTCTGTGGATCTTGTACTCGCACAGCTGCTCATCCAGTGTTGCTTCACAACCAGGGGGGGTTGAGATGCTGCTGCTGTACCTGAAAAGGAGCAAGAGGGGAGACCAGGGAACAAAGGCTCATTGTTAGACCAGGAGCCTCATAACATGGTCAAGCTAAAGACCAACCCTCCAGGAGATGCCTCCTCTCCCCCCGAGTCTAGAGAGACTCTACCTGGTTGCAGGAAGAAGCACACTCAGAGCAGGCCTTATCCAGGGCAGATCCAGGAGGAGGGGGGTGCAGTTGTTTAAAGTTTAAAGCCAGCTGCCTGGGAGGAGCAGCGGTATTTCTATCCAAGCAGCGCTGAGAGTCAACTGCCTTCCTGGCTCAGCATCTTCTCACTGATTCCTGTTAATCTCTCTCTACTCCACAGGTGTTCATGCCCCTCTCTCCTTTTTAATGGTCTTGTCATTTCACTCTTCAAACTATCATTTCTTCTGCCACCATTGCTGCCTGTTGGCCATCCTTGGTCACATCCCTTCTCTTTCTGAGCTCTGCAGACTTTCTCTAGCTAAAAACCTTTACTCCAGTGCCATCATATTAACTCAGATGTAGAAATGACTGACAGTAAAGTAACAGGTACTGTCAAGACTCTCAAAAAGGTTAGATTTTCTTTTATAGACCTGAATAAGAGATGAACGTTTAACTATAATGACTCCAGGATGAATGATTGAATAGCCTTTGACTATTTTTTGCCTAGTTGCTTGTGTTTTTTAAAAACTTTACATGTACTCTCTCTAGCAAATGAGTGCACCTTCCAATAGTTGTGCATGTTTCTGCAGCAATCTCAAGCCAAATAACGTAGTGCCAGTCCCTTGGCATATTAGTAAGGCTTCTTGTTTCTCTTTAATGGGAGAAAAATGTGTGTTGTGTTCTATGTGAGGATGCACCCAACCACCTGCACCTTCCTTTTCAATGCCCATCAAACAGCTCCTTTTTGTTGGCTTTCCGGCCCCCTGTGTAGGCCAGCGCTGGCCAACCTTTTAAAAGTGGGCTGACCGCAAGCCCAGCCCTCCAGCTCTGACCTCACCTCCCCAGAGGTGTATCCGATAGCTTTTATGCTGGAGGGGGAGAGGGGGCCTTGAAACCCCAGCCATGCAGGAGCTGCGACAGGTCACCAGCAAGAGCCCCAGGGTCATACTGCAAGTGAGGATCCAAAGCCTTGAATGTGTAGGGACGGGAAGGGGTTCACCCATCTCTCACCAATGACACCTCATTTAGCAGCTATTTGCCCTCAGGAGGAGTTGGGAGTTTGCCTCTAATTACTGAGTGCTGGGAGGTTGAATTTAATGAGGTGGAGCCCCAAGTCTACCAAGAGTGAGAACCATGGCTTTAAAGCCTCTGATACCAACTGCTGTCAGCTAATCAGCCAAGACAGACCACACATAGATAGGGATATGTCCAGATCCACACCCTTCATATGCGCTCCCTCTGAAGCGTCTGTTCCAGCTACCATCAGAGGCTGGATACCAGGTGAGATGGACCATTTAGCTGACTCCTACTCATCCCTCAGGGCAAAGTTGTGGGCCCATTTCTGCCAGAGCTTTGAACAGATCTGTTGTGCCATCCTCCTGGAAGACAGCAAACCAGCTCATTCTCCCAGGGTTCCCCGTAGCCGCTTTGGGCATCATGCCCTTCCTAGAGCTCTGTCTCCACTTAAAATGGGCTGAGCTGAGCACTGAGAGTGTGACCCTCTAGCCATAGCCTGAGTGGGTACCAGGCAAGCTGCCCCACACTGCCTTCCCTGCTTGTTTCTACCCTGGACTGGAAGGGTCTTTGCTTGATTCCAAATTGGGATCTCTTCATGCCATGACCTCTCTCTCCTGATGATGTCCTTCTAAGTGCCCATGGCACAGGCCAGTAAGTCAAGGCCAGCTGTGACACTTGGATGCAGACCATGGGACACTATATGCAGCTCCTGCCCTTTCCAGAGGCCCATAGAGCTATTCCCAAGGGGCACGTGGACCCCAGACACTTACCTGGTGCAGCAAGATACGGTGGCCCCATAGCATTTACACCTCATGCACAAGCTGGAGTTCCATGAGGTCCTGATGGCATGCTCACTCTTGTCAAATGGGTCCAGGCACTTCTGGGGAACCAGGAGTCCATCTAGAAAACAATGGGGGACATGTGTAGGCCATATGGCCATGTCCAGTGCCACTTGCTTTCGACGTCCGTATTCTGCTCTTAGCCAGGCAGCACTCATGTTCATCATGCTACCAAGATCTCAGTGTGTAGCACAAAGCTATCGGGCCAGTCCACACTATGTGTGGTGCATGCAGCATAGGTGGCCTCTGCATGTAGCACATGGCAGATTAGGAAGGGAGCAAGGAATGCAATGGGAGATGGGGAAGGAGGCACAGGGCAAGGGGCAGAGAGCAGAGCAACCAATGGGGCAGGGAAAAAAGGGCAAGGAGACAGCACAGCAACAGATGGGGCCAGCTCCTTCCAGCTCAGACCCACAAGTTCTCCCCCCTGTGACGTGGGGCATAGGCAGGTCCTGCCACCCGTTGGGGTATGTCCAGCACCCCCCAGCCCCAGGTAAGTGGTGTGGGGATTGGACAACAAAGCCATCAGATAACCCCAGGATCCGACTGGGACAGGGACTGTTTCCCAGAGCAGATGCCCACAGCTTTACCTGTGTTGATCTCCAGTTCATTCTTGATTATGAAGCAGACGGCATGGATGAGAGTCAGCATGGTACAGAGCACACTCAGGATCATCAGGATCTTCTGCAAGAGGAGGCATGAAGACAGCTCAGAAGGTCTCCAAAGCTCTCTGCCAGACCCTTGAGCTATTTCCACGGAAGAGGGCAAACCAGCCCCATCCTCCTGGGGTTTTCCAGTTTCCCTGGGCATCGTGCCTTCCCAGAGCCCTGCCACCACTTTAAATATGCCAAGTTGAGTGCTGAGAATGCAAACCCCTAACCATAGCCTGAGTGGATACCAGGCAAGCTGCCCCATGCCCCGTTCCTTGCTTGCTTCCACTCTGGACTGGAAGGGTCTTCCTTCGGCTTGACTCCAGGATCTACCATCCCTTCCCATCACAACCTCTCTACCAACAAGGAAGCCCTTTGAACTCGCCCTGATCCCAGAAGGTTTAGCATTTGCAACATGGGCACCTACCCCCAGGGGAGACTCAGTGTCCCAGGGTCGTTAAGGGCTTTGGGTCATTCCAAAGCCGGGCTGGATTGGATCTGCTGGGCCAGAAGTATTATGTATGTTGTCTACGGCAGCAGGTCTCAGCCTCACTGGGCTTCAGGATCCCCTCACAAAATCCCAACTCTTTGCTTTCACTTTTTTCTTGACTATGGAAAATCCCACCACAGCCCCCACTGCTAAATTTCTGGACCCGTGGGGACCCCCAGGTCCTGTATGCTAAATGGGTGCCTGATCCCAGAATGCAGGGCTGGGCAGGGACACTACTAGACGCCCAGGACCCAATCCCGCACCCCTGGCCAAGAGCAATTATTCTGGGGCAAAGACCTCAGCATGCCCAGGGCAAGGTAGGAGGTTTGGACCCTTTGGATTCCCATGGGAAATTTCTGGGTTTCTCTGAATCACGTGGAAGGGCTGGCACTCCCAACAGTGCTCCTAATGAAGCAACCTTCAAAGGATCTCACGGCTGAGAATCACTGGTTATGGGAGCACTGACCAAACTCTTACCCAAGCTCACTCAACCTACACAGAGAAGACTTGTTAACTGGCTGGTTGCCTGGGTAGGGGGGGAAGATGCCAAATGGCACACAAGCCCTCACTGTCCATTTGCAGGGGGTCACATAGGCATATCCCATTAGAACTGAACTCTGCTGTCCCCAAAGCTCTTTGCTCATCTCAGAGCCTGGGGACATGGAGGTAAATCCTCAACAGTTTGTCAGTTGAGGTAGATCAGCTGCACATGCTGGCTCGGAGACAACTTCCCAGGAGCACAGCGAGCACAGGAGAAAGGAAGAGACAGAGGTAGAAGGGGCAGAAAGCAGGAGGTGCCACTCACCATCTTGGCTTTCTAGTGTCCAGCAATGGCATTGGCAGACGAAAGCTCTGGGTTCCCTCAGGATGTTGGCGAAGCAAAGGCAGCCTTGATTTATAAAATGTGCAGGCAGGAGGAGGGACAAGACCCTGTCCCTTTCCCGGCCATGTGGGGGTGAGCAGATGTGCCCAAGCCCCTTCTGGAAGAGGGCCGTGTTTCCGTGGTGTCTGTATTTACTCTCTGCTGGCTGCACTGCTGCACCCACCCGTGTATTTGCTGATCAGGCTGGGCCCACTGCTCAACAGGATCTTCTCATGAAGCTACAGGATGGGGCTGGGCCCAAAGAAAAGGCTCCGACAATCCCTTGTACAAATTCCAGGCGTGGTGGGGATGCCGGGAGGCTCTGGTGTCTATGAGCAGGTAGGCCAGGGGTGAGCAATTATTTGGGCCTGAAAGCCACATAGGGAGTTTTGATAGGCAATGTTTCCACAGCCCTATTCCCCACCTGCCACATACACCTGCTGCCAAAATCCCCACCCAGGGTATGTGTGAGCAGCAAATAAGGGAGGTACAGGATCTGGTGTGCCACCCTGAGCTCACATTGTGCGCCTCAGCTGGGACCCAGGGCTCATCTGCTAGCACACCTGGCCTCTCCAGAAGCCCATGACTAGATAGCAGCTGGACTGACTGGGCTGGACTAAATATGACCCCCTGAAGGCCTTGCCCGTCTGCCTGCTCTGAGATTCAGGACCTGTGATACCGTGAACAGCCTTCACAACCACTACCCTACAGATCTCAAAGTCTAGACAGGCTGCAGAAGGAGTGGAGGGTGACTGGGAGAAGGCAGTGTCTGAAGTGATCTCCAAAATTAAACCCTTGCTTCAATTCCTTCAGTTTGGGCCCTTCTCTGCAAGCTTCCGTGGGCAGCATCCCTGATCGGAGAGCCACAGCATCCTGGCTACACTACCAGGCCCTTCAGCAGTGGCTGGTGGAACCCCTGCTTCATACCCAATGTCAATGGTTAGCATAAATCCCTTCTGTGTTCACAAGGCTCTATGTTTCCGATCCCTCTGCTGCACCTGCCAGGGAATCGCTGCCTCAGGTGCAGGTTGGGATCTGGTTGCTGGGAAGAGGCCTCTCAAACACTGACCCTGGAGATGGGAAAGGGCTAGGCCACAGGCAGTGAGGGAGGGGACTTCTGGAGAAGCCTGTGTGCCTAGAACAGCTTCACCACACAGCCCCACGTCTCTGCTGTAGCCAAGAAGTGACACGTTGCTCAGAGAAGGGAAGGCAATGGCAGGCCCAGAGTGATGGTTTACTGTCTGGAGCTGTGAAGGGCCCCAGAGCTCAACTTCCAGCTCTGCTGCTAACTGGATTATAGACAAGGACAGACCCAAAAGGTCACAACAATACAGGGCTGGCAGAGAACTCCAGAGGTCCTATCTAGTCTAAGCCTCAACTCATGGTAGGATTAGCTCCATGGCAAAACATCTCAGCCAAGAGTCTGTCCAACCTGCTTTTAAAGACTCCCAAAGAGGGAGAGTCCACACCTCGTTAGGCAGCTTGTTCCAACATTGGACCAGCCTCACAGCCAAGAAGTTCTTCCTAATCTCCCAGCTTAATGTCCCTTGTTGCTCTTTCAATCCATGACTCCTATCCCTGGTCCCTGCAGCCACCAAGAACAGTCCATTTCTGTCCTCTTTATAAGCATCTTTCAGAGCAGCTGCCACAAAGGCAAACAACATGTTAGGGATGATGAAGAAGGGGACTGTGAACAAAGCAGACAGTATCCTGATGCCCTTTTATAAATCCCTGGGGCAGCGACACCTTGAAGACCATGCCCAGCTCTGGTCCCTGCACCTCCTAAAGGAGATAGAACTAGAGAAGGTGCAGAGATAGGCAACAAAGATGATTAGCAGTGTAGAGGGGCTTCCATATGAGAAAAAACTAACAAAACCAAAGCTGTTCAGTGTAGAAAGGAGATGCTTGAGGGGGGACACGAGAAGGGTTTTTGAAATACTAAATGGCGAAGAGAAAGACAGTAGGGATTTATTATTGACCATCTTTCACCTACAAGAACAGGGGGTCATGACATGAAACCAGTAAGTCGTTAAGTTTAAAGCAAACACAAGGCAGTTCTTTGCCACCCAGCACAGCATTAAGGGGTGGAACTTGTCCCAAATGTAGTGGAAGCTGAGAGTTCAGCCAGATTCACAAAGGGATGGGATACATTCTTGGAGAAAAGGAGCATCAGGAGCATGTGGGAGTTAAGGATATGGCCTCTGAATCAGAACTTCCTAGATCTCAAGTGACGGAGGCTGCAAGAAAGAGGAACAGGAGGAAAATCCCTACTCAGACCCATGGCAGGGCACAGGCAGCTGTGGGGGAAAAACACTGCTCAGACCCAGCTCACTCTCCATTTCAGCATCTACCCTCTGCTGTATGTGACACAGATGCCAGGACAAGATGGACCTAAGGTCTGATGAAGTACACGGCAGTTCTTATGTTCTTAGGCGTTTGAAGACCGTCATCAAACCCCACTTCAGGTTCTCTCTTCTCTGGACTCTCACAGGTCTTCCAAGCATAATTCCTGCTCTGCAGGTCTTTCACCATTTTGGTCGCACTCCCCTGGACTTATTCCCATAGGTCCACCTCCTTCTTGAAGTGCAAGGTGTGAAACTGGTCACAGGACTCCAAGGGAGGCCTCCCCAGTGCTGAATAGAGCAGAACCACTTGACTCATAGGCAACAGACTTGTTCATCCAGCCCAGTCTGCTACTGGTTTTTCTTTTGCAACAGGAGCTCATGGCTGACTCCATGTTCAAGGCAAGGTCCACTATAACCCCCATGCTCTGGCTGCAGCCCAGACTGTCATTCCCCATCCTGCATCTGTGCTTCTGATGGTTCTGCCCTATGTAGCCAGTCTTTGTAAAAGAGCTTGGGCTGAAATGAGACAAATAGCAGGTATAGGCATTCCAGTTGTGGTAGGCCAGTTATGCCAAGCTATAGCAAACTACAGTGTGGGAGAAAGGGGCCTCATGACCGCTGGATGACCAGATAAGCAAGAAAAAAATGAAAACACTAATGAGCAAAAATATGCTGATTCAAAGCAGGGAGGACAACACAGCAGCTGAAAAACTGGAGGGTGAATGTAAAAAGAACTCTGCAATGAGACAGATCACAAGAGCCAAAATGTAGATGTGGAGACATGGCAAGTGAAACAATTTGAGATGCACATCAGAGAGAGAAGACAGGGGGCATGCCAGCATCAATACAGAGGTTGGGAGACCTGTCCCTTGTACAGAAGCTGAGGGGAGTGTGAATCACATAAGGTGTCTCCACCTGTCAAGGACAAGCATCACTGTATTGGACTGACTGTTCATCATACAAGCTGCTGGACTGTCCAAGGACAATAAACCTGTCTGAGCTTTCACCACCAAACATGAATCTGAGTTGTTTTTTCTGAGTTGCCTTTGGACACTGGAAGATGGGTAGCAACCACCACCCAGGACACAGACCTCAGATACTAGTGCATCACAAGTGACAGCAAGCAGGTATTACAAAAAAAAACATTCTGCATGCCTCAGAACAGCATGGTGTGGGGCTGGGGGGATCTACCCTCTTCTAGACCCCTACCATTGTCCCATGTCTCCTGGGTGAACTCCATACAATCATCTAAAATAAGGGTTGGAAGGGACCTCAGGAGGTCACATCTAGTCCAACCCCCTGCTCAAAGCAGGACCAGCCCCAACTAGATCATCCCAGCTAAAGCTTTGTCTAGCTGGGTTTTGAAAACCTCCAAGGATGGAGGTTCCCCACCTCTCTGGGTAACCTGCTCCAGTGTTTTACTACCCTCCTAGTGAGAAAATTCTTCCTAATATCTACTTAAACTTCCTTTGCTGCAACTTGAGACCATTGCTCCTTGTTCTGTCATCTGTCACCACTGAGAACAGTCTAGCTCCATCCTCTTTTGAACCCCCCTTCAGGGAGTTGAGGGCTGCTATTAAGTCCCTTGTCAGTCTCCTCTTCTCTAGACTAAATAAGCCCAGTTCCCCCAGTCTTTCCTTGCAAGTCATGTCCCCCAACCCCATCACCATTGTTGTCACCCTCTGCTGGACTCTCTCCAATTTGTCCCCATCCTTTCTGTAGCAGGGAGCCCAAAACTGAACACAGTACTCCCAACGTGGCCTCACCAGTGGTGAATAAAGGGGAGTAATAACTTCCCTTGATCTACTGGCAACACTCCTACCAACGCAGCCCAGTATGCCCTTGGCAGCAAGGGCACACTGCTGGCTCGTATTCAGCTTATTGCCCACTGTCACCCCCAGGGCTTTTTCTGCAGTGCTGCTGCCCAGCCAGTTAGCCCCAGCCTGTACTGGTGCATGGCACCGTTCCATCCTAAGTGCAGGACTTTGCATTTGTCCGTGCTGAACCTCATGAGATTTCTTTTGGCCCAATTCTCCGATTTTTCTAGGTCACTCTGAATCCTAGCCCTACCCTCGTGTGTCTACTACTCCCCACAGCTTGGAGTCATGTGCAAACTTGCTGAGGGTGCGCTTTATGCCATCTTCCAGGTCATCGATGAAGACATTGAACAAAACTGGCCCCAGGACTGACCCCTGGGGCACTCCACTTGATACCGGCTGCCAACTAGACATCGAGCCATTGATTACTACTCTCTGAACCCAAGGCCTACAGTCCATTCATCCAGCCTATACTTCCTTAGCTTACCTGCGAGAATGCTGAGGAAGGTCGTAACAAAAGCCTTGCTAAAAATCAAGGTGCACCACATCCACTGGTCTCCCTGCATCCACAGAGCCAGTCATCTCGTCATAGAAGGCAGTCAGGTTGGTCAGGCATGACTTGCCCCTGGTGAATCCATGCTGACTGTTCCTAATCACTGTTTTCTCCTCCAAGTGCTTAGAAATGGATTCCTTTGAGAATCTGCTCCATGATTTTTCCAGGGACTGAGGTGAAGCTGACTGGTCTGTAGTTCCCTGGATCCTCCTTTTCCCCTTTCTTAAATATGGGCACTCTGTTTGCCCTTTTTCAATCATCCAGGACCTCTCCTGATCACCTTGAGTTTTCAAAGATGATGGGCAGTGGCTGTGCAATCACATCACCCAACTCCCTCAGCACCCTCTGGTACATCCCATCCGCCACCATGGACTTGTACACATCCAGCTTTTCTTAGTCCAGAACCTGTTCTTTCACCACTGAGGGCTGCCCAACTCCTCTCTAAACTGTGCTGCCCAATGCAGTAGTCTGGGAGTTGACCTTGCCTATGAAGATAGAGGCAAAAAAGGCATTGAGCACTTCTGCCTTTTCTGCATCCTCTGTCATGAGGTTGCCTCCCCCATTCAGTAAGGGACCCACACTTTAGCTGAATCACCTCTTGCCACCGACATACTTGTAGAAACCCTTCTTGTTCCCCTTCACATCCCTTGCTAGCTGCAGCTCCAATTGTGTTTTGGCCTTCCTGACTTCATCCCTGCATGTCCAAGCAATGCTCTTATATGATCCCCTAGTTATTTCTTCAAGTTTCCACTTCTTATAAGCTTCCTTTTTGTGATTTAGTTTACTGAAGCATCTCCTGCTAAGCCAAGCTGGTTTTCTGCTGTACTTGCTAGTTTTCCTGTGCATCGGGATGGTTTGTTCCTGCAATCTCAGTAAGGTTTCCTTAAAGTACAGCCGGCTCTCCTGGACTCCCCTCCCTGTCAGACTGGCTTCCCAGGGTATCCTGCCCATGAGTTCCCTAAGCAAGTCGAAGTCTGTTTTTCTGAAGTCCAGGGTCCTTACTCCGCTGCTCTCCATCTTTCCTTTCCTTAGAAGCCTGAACTCAATCTCGTGGTCACTGTTGCCCAAGTTGCCATCTACTACTACATTCCCCAAATCATCCCTGTTTGTGAGCAGCAGGTCAAGAGCACGGCTCATAGTTGGCCGCTCCAGCACTTGCACCAGGAAGTTGTCCCCGAGACTCTCCAAAATCTTCCTGGATTGCCTGTGCATTGCTGTGTTGCCCTCCCAGCAGATGTCAGGATGACTGAAGTCCCCCATGAGAACCAGCACCGGTGACTTGGAAACTTCTGCTAGTTGTCTGAAGAAAGCCTCATAACCCCACCAGGACATCACCCTTGATGCTCTCCACCAGGACATCACCCTTGATGCTCTCCCCTCTAACCTTAACCCAGAGACTTTCAACAGGCCTATCTCGTGTTTCATAATGAAGCTCTGAGCAATCATACAGCTCTTTTACATAAAGTGCAACTCCTCTTCTCCCCTGCTTGTTCTTCCTGAACAGTTTGCACCCATCCACGACCATGCTCGTCATGCGAGCTCCCACCAAGTCTCTGTTATTCCAGTCACATCATAGGTCTGTGAACGTGCAAGGACTTCCAATTCCTCCTGCTTGTTTCCCAGGCTCTGTGCATTTATGTACAGGCACCTGAGGTGACTAGCTTATTGCCCTTTCTCAGGAAGAATGAGACCTCCCCTGCTTCCCTATTTACCTCAGGGCTTTGTTCTCCATCCCCCTGCAAACCTAGTTTAAAGCCCTCCTTAATAAGTTAGTGAGTCTGTCTGCAAAGATGCTCTTCCCTCTCTTTGTCATGTGGGTCCCGTCTCTTCCTAGCAATCCTTCTTTTTGGAACATCATCCCATGGTCGAAGAAGCTGAATCCCTGCTGGCAACACCATCTGCGCAGTTATGCACTGATCTGCAGGATGCATCTGCTCCTGCCAGGGCCCTTCCCCTTGATCAGAAGAATTGAGAACACCACCTGAGCCCCTGCCCCCTTCACCCTCACACCCAGAGTCCTGTAGTCATACTTGAACTGCTCAAGATCTCCCTGGCATTATCACTGGTACCCACATGGATAAGCAGCATAGAGTAGTAGCCAGAGGGTCAGACAAATCTCAGTAATCCTTCCGTGACATCTTGGATCTCCATTGTGCTCAAGTTTCAACAACAAACCTTTTTGCTAGACCTGGAGCTTTGGGGAGCATCTGGTTCTTGGGCTCCAGATCTGGAGGGGACAGAGGGGTCTCCACTAAACTGAGATGCTGGTCTCAATCAGTGGCTGTGTTTCAGTGTGATGGCCCACGTGTCTTGGCCCTCCCAGAGGCAGGGACAGATGAGGCTCAGAGTGCGTCCCCTGGCTGACATTTGAGCAGTGTCTCTCCACTGTGGCTTTGCTGAGACAGACATTGTGATGGATGAGCCCATTCTTCATCGCACCTGTTTGCTCAATGGGCCAGACTGCTTGCTCTTACTTTTGGACGTGTCCTATGCCACATATGTTCTCTGTCATTACACAAAGGGCTTTTGATCTGCAACGGAGCTGAACAAACAGGCATCTGTCCGTTCTCACGCCGCCCTCTGCTGTATTTCTCCCCGTGCTCTCTCAACACCAGGCTGCCTGATGGGAACTGGAAAGGGTTGTTACAAACAGCCCCGTCGCCCACATTAGGATACATCCACGAGTGGTCTGGCTCCCTCTCTGCAGGGGTCCAGTTGTGGGGTTCACGATAACAGCTTGAGATACTTGGTAGTAGACAAAAGGAATGCAGCAAAGGCATATGGCCTTGAACACCACCCCCCATCAGCTACATATGCTCTGGGGGCACTTGGGTCACCAAAAGTGGAGCAGGGGAGAGCACTGATGCCTCCATGTACCAAAGGAGGGGTCCCTAACTTCATACCCCACTCCCCATAAAGCCAAAGACTAAGGAGGAGCTGAGTCTGAAGCCTCTTTTTTGGTGCATATGCCCAGGAAAGGGGAGCCCCATGCTGTTTCTGCATGCCATCATAGTTGCCCGGATGCCCCTCCCCTGTGATGCAGGGACCAGGCAAGGGCCAGAGGGGAAGAAACGGGTTTATTCAACAGCAATGGAAAAACAGAGTGAAGGAAATGTCCATCGGGGCCCATCTGGGTGCCTCCCTCACCCCCTCTGCCTCCCAGTGTCCAGGGCTCAAGGGATGCAGGTGGTGGCAAACTGTGGCCAAGGTGTCTATGGCTTCTGGGTGGGCACGGGCCCAGCTGTGGTGATGATGGAGGGGCTGGCCAGGCTGCCGCTCAGCGCAATGAGGGTGGTGCCTGCCCCAGTGGGTAGCACGCCCTGTGGCAGCAAGTGCCTGCTGGTCAGTGTCTCCCGGGTGTGCAGAACTGTACTGCCCTCGTCCACCACAGAGGGTACCCGTCCCAGTGTCTCTACGGCCCCCAGTGCATGGCCGAGGGCTGCAGCGGCACCTTTGGACAGGCCAGCCTTGTCCCCAGCGTGGGCCAGGGCCCCATCGCTCTTCACAGCAGCCAGCGTTGAGGTGAGGATGACGGTCTTGGAGGTGGCTTGCAGGACCGGGCCTACCTTGGTGTGGGCCAGACTGGGCGAGCTGGGGGTGCCAGCCAGAGCAGAGGCAGTGAAGGTGCCTGTGGGGGAGCTAGCGGAGCCTGACGGGGCGCTGGAGGCCGCCTCAGCCATCACGGACTTGGTGAGTGCAGACAGCTTGGCATCTGACATGACGTACAGCGTCTTCATGGGGCTGGTGCTGGGCGCTAGAGAGAGAGGGAACCAGAAACAGCTCAGCCTTGGCCCTGCTGGATCCCTGCCCCAGGTGCAGGCACCACACTGGCAGCTGGACCACATGGGGGCATGAGTTGCCCTACATGTCCCAACCTGTCCTGCACCTGTGGCATCCCCATTCCTCCCCTGATAGCTAATGTGGCCACCCTGGTGCTGCTTCTGCTGCCTTTGATTGCCTTTGCCAACACCCTAGGGAATTATGCATAG